GAAGAGACTGGCGAGTAACCGCCGGTCGGTCAAGAACACAACGCAAAAAGGTACTATACGGTCACGAAAACGAAGAAGAAGAACGACAACATGACTAACGCGGCACTGGTATACGTAGCCGGGTAACCGGATACGAAGAACCAGAAGAAGCGGAGGTCTAACCACGGATTTAAGAATAAAGGTAGAAGAACACAGTAAACGACAAAGACCCCAAAAACGCCACAGTATTATAAGGCTAGTAAATGACGAATTTCCCTTGTTTATTGATGTCACACTCCTCCCTATTATCTACTCCTGATAATATACATAATATACAGATATGTCATACAAAAAGTGTTCTTTACACACAAGTCTGCTTTGTAGTGGCTAACACTAACACAGGTTTGACTGTACTACAGTGGCATAAGTGATAAAAATGGATAATTATTGAATTACCTTGAACCTTAACCTTGCATTATCCAGAGGGAAACTCTCTGGATGTTTGCTCACTCCATAAACTTCCTGTGCTAGGGCCTGAATGGTATCACTGACATTATCAGGTGGGTTATATCCCTGTTCCGTCTTTCTCAACCTGAAATGACGTGGGGTGAGTAAAACCACTAACACCAGAAATCACACTTAGGGTGGGGACAACAGGATGAAAACGCAATCTGGTAGGGCACTTACTTATACAACTGGCTAAATAATTTAAAACAAAAGTAGTCACGTATTGACGTACTCATGAGTTTACACATTTACAATGTTGTTTTTACGCACAGAACAAATTCTCATACAGTAGAAATCTGAAAATCTGGACTGTTCAGGGATTGGGTCGGTCCAGATTTTCGGATTTTCCGGATTCTCGGGCAGTACTTTGAAATTTCAAATTTAAGAAGGGTAAAGAAGAGATGACCAGGTAAATTTTGATAGTTTATTCATGAGTAAATACAGCATGCTTCATTTATCAAAACGAGCAGTTTTAAAGAAAAATAAAGTCAACACATGACAAAAATGTAAACATAAAATTTCCCACTACAAAAAAGGCATGTAATGCCTGAAATCATGTTTAAAGATGAATATTGTAAAAGAAAAATACAGTAACCAAATGAAAGCAGAAGTTACTTTATACAGATTAATAGTTTATTTTTAGTTGATTAAAAGTAAGATAGTTTTTAAAAAGTCCAGGTTCTCGGGTGGTCCGGATTTCTGGCACCAGAATTTTTGGACTTCTACAGTAGAAGATAGACAGAGGTGAGACCTGAATGGCATGTGTCTCACCCAATTCTGGTGACCAAGTTATTAGCCATAATACCTTCTATTCTAGATTAGTCTTCTACATGAATCTCTCTACTTGATAGTATGATACTTCACGTAATAACATCAACGAACTTGCATACCCTTTCACTTCTACTGATTTACAGGTTTCTTCTAAAGTTGTTGGCCGACTTTCTGCCGGTTCACCGTGACCTTCATCTTGGCCTCTGAACCATTCTCTGATTCCACTAGACGCTTGGCGGATTAACTGTCCATAAAAATATAACAACCACGATAATGATATTCCCTAACTAAGTGATTACTGACAATGAGTGTCACCGACTCACTGCAACTGTGTCAGTGTGTGACTGTCACTGTCAGTGACACTGTCAGTATAGTTTACTCGCAGCTAGGGCCTGCATACCTCCCAAATACCATTGGTTGATATAGCTCTAGTACTATAGCCCGCGGATCGCTGCCGCAGGGCTATAGCACATTCTGCCATAGATGTAATCTAAGCAAATGGTCCAACTGATGTGACCAAAAATTTATCCTCAAAACGTAAAATGATCGGGCTTGGCTATCCTTACGGAGACGTAAGAACGTTCATTTTTTCTATA